TGGGACATGCATGGAATGTTCATAATGTAACTCATGTATGTCCCAGGAATGTGCATGTACATCACATGAATGTTCCAGGTATATTCTGGGAATATAATTTTGCTATGTGGGTAGGTACATGTATTTCGAAATACCTATTCGAAAAATTGACAACTTCTATAGTACAATATACATACGTATATTACGGTAGTAATTGATTTAATTTTACATTTTTTTTTATAACTACGCTGAATTTATTTTTTGATATTTTTGATTTAAAATAACTACGCTGAAGTGAAAGTTTATCTGAAAGTACTGCGCGTTCAATTTATAACTTTAGCGATGCTTTAACAGGCATTTTTCTTCATACAAATACACATACTTGAATAACATAATAATCTTCATATGTATGTAATGTCCGTAGTAATCTGATATTCTATAATATGTATATAATGATATACATTGCACGCACATACTTTCTTCACCTATGTTGTAAAGTCGTTGCTTTAATTTTATCTCTACCATTTACTTACTCATAACTACTATCTTAAATGTTTTTAAGCATATAAAACCAAATTGAATTTCAAAAAGAATTAAGTGGGTTTAGCACTAAATTCTATCATAAATTACAAAAGGTCTTGCAAAAAAGTAGAATGGCAATGGAAACGAACTAAAACTAGAGTAATGCACATACCTATGTAAGTCTGTTTTGCCGTTGTGTTGACCAGACCTAAAATGTTTAAAATAACAAGAAAACTAAAAACAGAGCTAACATGAAATGCTAACTTACTTGTGTGTTTCTTTTTTGTCTTTGGATAATTGATACTTGAGTGCATCGGTTAATGTACGTTTCTTTTGTTTAAAATTCTGCAGCTTATTTGTTAATTCATGGTATTCTTTCAAATATACTGCGGGAGGATGCTTATAATCAGCAAATTTGGCGTTTAGGGCTTCTATAGTGGCCCTAGTTAGAGCGATGACACTTTCAATATTTAGAATTTCTTCAGGTAAATCCATAGAGTTGCTCTCTTTACACTCCGCCATGGTTTTACTAAATGTATCCTCATCTGTGCACAAAAAAACACTTCCATTCGGTGTTTTTTTACTTATGTTGTTAGTTCCACTGAATTCGTTCAAAACAGCCATGGCACTTTTTTACATGCCTGTGCTGTATGCTGTATTTCTTGCCCATTTGACGTTCTGAAGTTAACATTTCCCCTGCTTGACAGCTGTAATGAGGTCGTTCGCAATCATAGACATTTAAGTCATGATACAATGAATACAAGGTAGGATATTAATCGGTCGAAAACTCAATTTTCATGCGCACATGACGTCGCTGGTTACCACGTTGGTAAAGTGAACAGCTGATCCCATTTAAAATGCATGTAACCTAGACAAATTTTCACTGAATTCAAAACGCAATAGTTCAAAAATGGAAAGTTATATGAAGATATGGTTTGCAGCATTGCATAGCCGAATGCTTTGAAAATCGCGTTTGCGACCTGATTTAGGCTTATTGGGAAGAAAAATACCCTAAGTAATTCTTTTTTTTTTGCGTTTTAGCGTGCCGTGTTACCAGAGTGTCATTTGAGAAATCGGGTTGAGCCAAACGAAATAATGAATTAACATCACAATCATCATAAGCCTTGTTCTATGATCACAATAAATGAATGCACAGTTCATACAATGAATTGATTGTATCATGCAATTAATGCATTATATCATGGGGTCGATGCGTTTAGACATGTTTGGAAATTTTGTAGACAAAACTGAGCATTTTGCGAATTGTAGTTGGAAAGATTGTAGTTGGAAAGTGTACTCTAGATTGTTTGCTACTTTTAAGTGTCAGTTCAGAAATATAAAAAATGCAGTGTGCAGTCATTTCATTTGTATTAAAATTTACATATCATCCGCGGCACCACAAACCGCATATTCCGTCGTAAATAATAGGAAAGTAACTTTGGGTCATTTTTTGGACTTCCGTCTCGTGAATCGTAATGTACTATTTCTGCAAGGATACATTTTCAGCTAACGCTATACTTTATTGCACAACTGGCAACTGTGGTAGTCTGCACAATAAATACATTTTCGTTACTTTTAATTTTCAAGTCTAAAATCTGCTGCAAAGCATCTTGTAATTATAAGGAGGATTTATAAAAAAATAATTAAATGTGACAAAGACTAACTAAGCTACATTTAATCACATTTAGCACACAGGAAAAAAGCATGCTAGGCAGTGATTTCCACCGACGTCACGGAAATCGACGCAAGATCCTACCTTGTATTTTTATTGTATTATGCATTTAAATTCAATATACGTCCCAAAGAATACCTGCATTAAAGAAGTGAAGCCTGATGTATCCGGGTACTTGACATTGACTTGGCTTTGACAAACAGGCATTCGTGGTTAGTTTTAAAAAATGGTGGTCTTCAAATCGGAAAATGCATGGCAATGTCAAAAATATGACTGAAGCAAATTCCTTGGTCCAGCTTCAAGTTAAACTCCGTATTTTATCAATCGCTTCAATTTTTAATATTAAACGTTTTCATAAGGTTCGGCCCAAGTTTTTAATTTCGGTTTCAAGCTTGAAAAGCTATTGACAAATAAAATATTTGTACATACGGAAAAAAATTGGAGAAATGCAATCTTGACTGTACGGCAGCAGTTATGGAATATGTTTGATAAATGTCATAGAACAAGGCTTAGGATAGGATACATAGGATAAAAATAACATATATAATAACAGATAACAAGGATAAATGTGTATCTGTACAATGAAGGTGCACTTTCAATGTGGGTTTATCCGCCGGGCAAACAAAAAAAAATTCAATGTGAGAAAATAGCATTACAAAAATGTGAACTTAGTTCAAAAGTCTCAACTTTCGGAGGTAGCATTTTTTAAAGAGTCGTTTGTATGTGTACCAGTACTTATTGACTATGTTATGACGTTCCTATCTTTCCTGGGTCTCAGTCAAAGTGTGAAGTAAAAATTTTGAAACATTCATTATTATTTTCATTATTTATTATTTATTATTATAGTTTATTTCATTACGTTTCGGCGAGACAACAGCTCATGCACATTACACATGCACACCAAATATTACATAATTTTAATTTTGACAACGCAGACATATTAATTAGGGAAACAAATTATCATAAAAGAAGAATCCAAGAAATGATACAAATAAAAAAACATACAAAAGCAGTAAATTTCCGATCAGATACCGACAACCTTAGCAACATTTACCAAACGCTAATAAAGCCATAAGTATGGAACACCCGGTACACTAGTAAAAAAATAAAACTATTTCTGCTTATCTCAATACATGCATACCACTCTCGCAAATGTAGAAAATAATTCAGACAAATTCAAGGTTTTCAAGAAGGCAAAGACCTAAAGGGACGTTAATTTTTACCAATCATGAGGTAAGTTTTTTCCGGTGTTTTGCTCTCCCAAAAGAAATAATTTTTTTCCCTCAAAAACTGATAAATGTTTTTACCCTTTGTAAATTATAATTTTTACACAACATATTTTAATTGTGAATTGGTGATTGGAGTTTGTGTAAATTTTAAATCTGATGATGGGGCTGTTGTCTCGCCGAAACGTAATGAAATAAACGATGTTTCAAAATGTTTACTTCACACTTGAGAAGTCACACTGACTGAGACCCAGGAAAGATAGGAATATCATAACAAATACACGCAATCAGGAAAATAAATCAGACTTATTGACTATTTAATTTTTTAACAACAAATGAAAAAATTACACTAAAAAACATGAATAATAGCAATAATTTCATCTTTTAAGTTCAATGACAGTGACATTTTTCGTACATAATTTATTAATGAAATAATTAAGAGTTGAAGCAATGTCAGAATGAGGGCATGGCACACCCATGCACGTTTTCCGTCGTGGTTTATGTCCAATAAGTATAAGTATATAATTTATTTATAATTATTTTTATGCTTTTAAGTAAAAATATTTCAAAGGTAGTCATCATAGATAAACAAGTGAAGGTAGTGATGCACAGAGAACACCTCTGAACAAGAAGTGACAACTCCATGCAAACGGCCGTCATCGCTTATGCGCGCTCTCTGCCAGGTGTTTCGGTCCCTAAATTAAAAAGAAGCGGGAATTTCGATTTATGAATTACAATATGATTGTAAAGCCTGTGTCCCATGCATCCGCTT